ATGATATCACTGCCCCGTCTACGAGTGGATCTGACTTTAATTACATTTGACTCGAGTGTTTCCTCAACTTAATGTGTTGCTTCAAATAATACTTCTGCATACAGTATGTGACACTGTGAGTGTTGCACGGCCAGATACGGCTCAGCTGACTCAGATAAGGAGATATATGATACATTATGATGTGATATGCCGCGGACTGTACGTAATGTTACTCTGATCCGGTTACTTATGTTGTGGCAGATATTTAAGTAAGCTTTCTTAACGCTAATGTTATAATAGTCAGATTGCTCTGAAGATGGGAGGTGATATTCTATTAATGTATTTCCTTTCTCCTGTAATATGACTTGATCGCTTTAAACTCTGCACACTGAGCTCTGATTGGTCAGCAGGCAGTGCTTTCACTGAGTTGATCTCTTATCCTGGAACCTAACCTGCTCCGGAGCAGGCTAGCCGTTCAGCATAAGTTACCATGGAGATCTAGCGTCGTAGGACCGGAAACCCAGAGTTAACCTGAAGTTAGCCGCTAAGAGAAAATCCGGCTTCGTAGTACAGCCTCTGGTGGGCAACCCTTCATTTAATATTTATTTTATTATTGATTGTATTTGAATGAAAAACACAAAATGTATACAAATAATTAACCTATTCTAAAAACTAACATACATTTAAATAATAAAATTGACAAATTGTTTATAGATAATCTGATTCATATAAACAAATGATTGTTTTTTTCTGGAATAATTATAATAATTAGGCTATTTATTTATTTATTTTTAGTAAAAGAGAATAAAATAAAAAGAATTATAAAAAAAACAAAAATAAATATGTCCTGGTCGCAAAACATTTGAATATATATGATATAAGTTCTAATAGTAATAAATAAGTTGTGTTATTAGTTGGCTTCATGTTGGACTGTTGCAAAGATTAATAAGTTTTGTTTTCTGATAAATAACTAGTAAGCAAACTCTTTTTTACAGTTTGAGTTTTATTCTTCTTTTCAAGGCAAAATGCTAAACAGTTGCTGCTTCCATCTCATTTTGGGAACATTTTTTCACTGTTTTCTGATATCAGCAAATAAACTTGATTGTTCCTGTAATGTGTTCACTCATTTAATGTTTTAAAAGTTGCAGGTTAAGATCTTAAACTCCTCACCGTTGTGCTGGAAGTCGGCGGTCCTCAGAGTGCCTTGAATGCAGTGCTGAGGGGGCGGGGCTACAGGAGGAGGGGACGTCTGCTTCATCCTGATTGGTTTAGAGGCAGGACTGACAGTTTGCTTGTTGTCAGGGGGCGAGGCAGATGTTTTGGAGTGGGCGGAGTTATGTTCAGACCACGCCTTCTTCGGGGTGATCTGCATAGCAACTGTAGTCTCCGCCCCCGCTGCCATGGAAACAGAGGAGCCACATCTCTGGACACAACAAAAAACCAAACATCAGAAACTAATATATGTTATTAAGTAATATAATATATATAATTAAAATAATATAACTGAATGATATGTAACGTTAGTTAATTTAATATAATCAAGTGCATTTTTTAAAAACATAATATAGTTTAATTTAATTCTATATCATGTACAAAAATATGTTCTAATATTATAATATAATTTAATTAAATGTAATAAAGCTTAGTCTAATGTAACATAATTTAATATAAAATAATATATTGTAATAAAATAATTTAAAATGATATAATTTCATATAATTAAAATATTATAGAAGCTAATGTTGTATAATTGAATGTAACATAATATAATGAAGCAGCAATTAGAACAATTATACAGCATCTAAATGATTGATTATAATATCACCTGTTTGTTTGTTGGTGATTCATCACCGCTCTTCATCTTTCCCACCAGTATAGCGCCTCCTGGAGGACAAACAGGGGTCAGAGGTCACACTGAGGGATGTGTGTGTGTGTGTGTGTGTGTGTGTGTGTGTGTGTGTGTGTGTGTGTGTACCAGTGGCAGGTGTGGTGAGATCATGGTGAGTTCTCTGAGTCGGTCGTATCTTCAGCCTCGGGGTCGGTAACCTTCCCTCCTTCCTATATACACACACACACACACACACACACACACACACACACACACACACACACACACACACACACACACACACACACACACACAGGGTTATAATGACATTTCTCGCTGCACAGTTTTCTTCCTCTAATACGCGGTTAATCTTCTGCGGTCGTAAAGAGTATTTTTTAACGGCTTCTTAATCCACTTTACAAGAGTAGTATTCAGAGTAACGATTTCTTCTAGATCTTACTCGTCTGTTTCTTCTTCTCCTCCCCAGACCGAACGTCTCTCAGGAGTTTCAGTTCTTCCGGAAGCTGACGATCTCTGACTGGAGTGACTGCAAACAAAAACACAATTAGACATCAGCAGATAGAGAAGATTTCCCATGATGCTCTCTGACGTCTCACCTGTTGAGCTCCAGAGCCTCCACAGGTGACGGGGGGTCAGAGGTCAGAGGGTGAGGGGAAGAGGGGTAAGAGCAAGAGCTGGCTGCCTCCCACAGAGCGTTGTGATTGGACAGCAGCTGGCTCAGGTGGTCTCTGCAAAAATTCGATCCCCACGCCCGACGACGGTACGACATCGCCTGCTGCCGCAACTCCTCCACCTGCAGGGAGAGTCCGTTTTATTAAACAATAAGTATTACAAATAATATATATATTTTTTTTTGTTGAGGTTTTCAGTTGCTATAGATCAGAGGTGTCAAACCCAATTTCATCTCGGGCCACATCAACAAGGTTGGAACTTTAAGACTATATAAAATATACATATAAAATAATGTATTATATTACATTTTGCTACGTCTGAAAGCAGAAGTCTAGGGCAAATAATTGCAATTCTCTACAGTGGCATGTTACAAAATGAGATGCATTGTGGGAAATGTAGTTTATGGGCAACGTGGTTCTGTAAAGCGGCATGTAACCGTATAATAAACGTATTATATTCTTTCAGAGCTCTTGAGGGCCACATGAAATGAAGCCTTGAGTTTGACCCCTGCTGTAGACGGGTAATCAGCTGATTGCATCATCATATCAGTAACTTCGGTTTCATCACGTAGAATATTTTCAAAAAACAGTCAAATACGAGATATGTTTCAAAATAAAAGCGCCACAGCGTTTCCAGTGGACGGACGGACAACTTATTTTTTCATGGTTTTATTCTATTAACGTGTTCTTGCCTTTCAATATAATACACCAGGAGTACTGTGGCTCTGATGTTGTATATAAGATATATACATTCTCGTGATGCCCGTAAACAAGATGTCTCCTGACGTAAACAACAACAACGTGACGTCGGAGCTCCGTGAAAACAAAGCTGTCTCTGACGCTCTGTTTTGATTCTGGAGTTATTAAACAGTTTTTGAGGAACAGAAATATTGTTTTCTGGCATCATTTTAACATTTGACGGGGAAAATCTGCATTTCGGTTTGAGGGCGCGGCGGCCCTGTTACCCGGTGCAGACTAAACCCTGATTATATAAGTCTACTTCTGATTCAGGAAATACAATCTTAATCGGACAGTTTTGAAGTCTTCTTGTCAAAATGCTGCTGACTTCACAGAAACCGAAGCAGGGATGATGATGAGTGCAGGATGTGTAGAAACCATGACGGCTGATATCAACAGCACCGAGGGGAAACACTGAATGAACATCTCCAGGTGGGGGTTATTACGTTTGTGAAATCACATCGAAACAGAATCCAGGTCAGATCAGAGTGTTTCAGTAATTACCGAGTGATCCAGGTAACGGTAACCTGACCCTGACAACCCCAAAAAACCCACACACACACACACACACACACACACACACACACACACACACACACACACACACACACACACACACACACACACACACACACACACACACAGAACAATCTGATCTACAGTGTATTTATAATTATACTATTGAATCAGAATACTTTATTTATCTCGATATAAATTGGATTTCATGACTTTTTTTCTGTTTGCAAATTATTTATCTAATATATCATATTCCAGTTACTTGGATAGACTCTTCTTGCACTATTTCCATTCTGTTATTTGTATTTCCTTGCAGTATTGTATCTGTGTTATTGTGTTGCTCAGTTGGAGGAGCCTGAGACTCTACACTGTAGCTATGAACACACCTTGAATCTCAAATCTTTTCAAATCCCTTTGTCTGATGTTGAAGTTGTTTTAAACCTGCTTAAAAAAAGGCTTTCTAATTTCTTCTTTCAATTAGAGCAACAGGTAGGTGTAGGTGTTCTTCAAACACAAAACAACCGTATTAAAATGACCTCTAGTACTTTAAAGGCTTTAAGAGCGAACGCCTTCCAGAAGTTTGATCACACAAACTAATAAAAGGGTTCGTTCCTCCCAGCTATCACCCAGTGAACGGATATCAGCAGATCGTTGGAAGGAAACTCAGATTGGTTTTTGATTTTGAAGTGTTTGACACGAAAACTAAAACGCCACGACCCACAGCCAGAAAGTGTGGAAATATTCTTTAAATATCAGGGATAAAAATGTAAAAGTGACATTTGTAGAATTGTCTGTCCTGCACCGGTTAAAGGGATCTACTTCATGTCGTGTGCAAGGTAGCTACCCCTTACTCATAAGACACTTTCCACCTACCTGTGTGTGTGTGTGTGTGTGTGTGTGTGTGTGTGTGTGTGTGTGTGTGTGTGACTAACAGAGAGTTGTTTCCCTGAAATGAAGCTCTGTGGTTTTACCGCTGACACTCAGCACTCTAGTTTTCCATCAGCAAAACACACACACAAAAAAAGTTGATCTCAAATCCCCCTGAACATCAAACCAGAGCAACTGATAACTGACGGATCAACCGTCCACCAGTTGGGTTCTAGATAACAACAAGGCGCATTTTGCACGATAGGTCCCCTTTAAACTACATATTTCGTTTTGTAGGAAATGAGACATTTAGAGAGGTCACATTTGGCGCTGTGAATGTGATGGACACTGTTTGCTGTTTCATAGACTGCATGATGGATCAGACTGAAATGAATCTGTGTTTGAAGTCATGGTTATTAAGATGTCCTCTGACCTGACGGGCGTCTCGGTCCGAGGCTCCGTTTCTCTCGGGGATTCTGCAGAGAGGAGAAGAACAGCTGGACTGAGACTCTGTGCACACACACACACGTATATTTTCTACTTTTTTTAGAGCGCTTTCTATTTTGAGATGTTTACATTTTAGAATTATAATTTCATTTCTCTAATGTGCCTCGTCTTTTATGCTGATGCAAAGCAAACATTTCCCAAATATGGGATCAATAAAGTACTTCTTATCTTATCTTCTTATCTCATACCGAGCTGTACCAAAGGAGATTGACAATGTCCCGCTTTAATTTCCATATCGGATATGACACTAGATAGGAACCGTCTGGGGAGCAGATGGGTCGGAGAGTCGGAGCAGCGGGAGCGGGACTGCAGTCACTTTACCGCACCGTGTGACGAAAAGGGAGCTGAGCCAGAAGGCCAAGCTCTCTGTCTACCGGGCCATTTCCCTTCCTACCCTCACCTATGGTCATGAACGAGATCGCGGGTACAAGCGGCCGAGATGGGTTTTCTCCGCAGGGTGGCTGGTGTCTCCCTTAGGGATAAGGTGAGTGAGTCATCCGGGAGGGACTCAGAGTTGAACCACTCCTCCTTCGCGTCGAAAGGAGCCAGTTGAGGTGGTTCGGGCACCTAGTTAGGATGCCACCTGGGCGCCTCCCTAGGGAGGTGTTCCAGGCACGTCCAGCAGGGAGGAGACCAAGGGGTAGACCTAGGACCAGGTGGAGGGATTATATCTCTTTGCTGGCCTGGGAGCGCCTTGGGATCCCCCAGTCAGAGCTGGTTTGATGAGGGGAAAGGAACGTTTGGGGCTCTCTGCTGGAACTGATACCCCAGAGACCCGACCACGGATAAGAGGGAGAAGATGGATAGATGGATAGATGGATAGATAGATAGATAGATGGATGGATAGATAGATAGATAGATGGATGGATGGAACTAATTTATTCTGATAATCTCTTAGATTTAGGATTTAATAAGAACATTTAAAGGGAGGATTTCTTATAACATAATAATAAATTGGATTTTTATTGCGCCTCTCATAATACCCAAGGACGCTTTACAAGGAAGAACAGAAGTATAATCAAACATAACAAAAGGCAGTCAGACAAAACAACAAATGGACTTGGGGCCAAAGGCCTTGGCAGACAGATGGGACTTGAGGGCCCTTTTGAAGGTGTCAAGAGTGGGGATGTTGCAGATCTCCGCAGGGAGAGCGTTCCAGAGAGTGGGGGCTGCCATACTGAAGGCTCTATCCCCGAAGGTTCACAGGTTGGTGCGGGGGGCCAGAGTCTGAAGACCGCAGGCTCCGGGGAAGGGCATGTGGGAAGAACAGCGAGTCAGCTAGCAGCTAGCACCATTAGCCTGGTAGAAACCGGACCTCGAACCTCAGCAGCGGCGATGGAAAACAGCCCAGTTGAGATGGCAGGACTGAGGGAGGGTTCGTGGATAGTCCTGGGAGCATGGCAGACAGGAACCCAGTCAGGGAGCCCAGTCGGGGTAATCCACGGATAGCAGAGCACGACGGTGAGCTCGTTTTACTAACGGGAGGACGGCAGAGGCTAGGAGCTAAACAGCAGCCAAACATAATCAGCTGAGCAACGGAGATGGCAGAAACACAGAACCAGAGCAGAACAATCTTTTCGCTGTGTATGTGAAAAAGATTTGACGGCAGGGAGTGGTAGACACGAGGAATAAGAGTTGGCAAGAAGAGCGGCGAGAAACACGCCAGCGTCCCCCTCTAGCCAACTTCCGGTAAAACATCATGTACAAAACATACATCAAAG